TGTAGAAGAAACAAAGAAGGTCACTATGTAATGATAAAAGGGTAAATTCAGCAACAGTACATAAAAATTGCCACTGTACACTCAATAACAGAACCCTGAAGAATATAAAGCAAACCTCGATGGATTAAAGGGACAGATAGACTGCAATAGAATAATAAAAGAGGACTCCAAGGCCCCACCTTCAGTAATTGAGAGATCAGACAGAAAATCAACAACAACAGAAAAATCTGAGTTAAATATAAAACACTAATGAAAAATTTGAAGAGGACACACGCATACAAAAGAAAGATATTTTGTGCTCATGGATTAGAAGAATTAACATTGTTAAAATGTCAATACGGCCCAAAGCATTGTACAGATTCAATGCAACCCTATCAAAATACCAATGACATCCTTTCTATAAATAGAAAAAGCAATCTGGAAATGTATATGGAGCCACAAAATACCCTAAATATCCAAAGCATCTTGAGCAGAAAGAAGAAAGTTGGAGGCATGAGAGCATCACACTAGCTGATTTCAAAATATACTACAAAGCTGCCAAATAGCATGATATTGGCATAAAAAATCAGACACTTTGACCAATCAAACAGGACAGATAACCAAGATAGAAATCCATAAATTTACAACTAACAAATGTTCCAAGGACATACAATGGGGATATGACAGTCTCTTCAATAAATGGTGCTGGGAAAACAATAATTCATATGCAGAAGAATGACACGAGACTCCTATCTCTCACCATATACAAAAACCAAATCAAAATGAATTAAAGCCTTCAATCTAAGACGTGAAACTATACAACTAAAACAGAAGAAAAAATTAGGGAAACTTTCTGGGATATTGGTTTGAGTAAAGATTTTTGTGTGTGTAAGAACTCAAAAGCACAGGAACAAAACTAGACAAATGGAGTTACGTCAAGCTAAATAGCTTCTGCATAGCAAATGGAGACAATCTACAAAAGGAAGAGACAACCTGCAGAATGGGAGGAAATACTTGTGCACTATTCATCTGATATTAACAAGCAGAACATGTAAGGAACTCAACTCAATTGCAAACGAAAAGGACCAAGTAAGCTGATTAAGCATGGGCAAAAAGTCTTAATAGAAGACCTATCAACAGGTATATAAAAAAATTCCCAGCATCACTATCAGAAATACAAATCAAAAGCACAATGATATATCATATCTCCCAGTTAAAATGACTTAAAATGACTGTTATCAGAAAGGCGGGGAATAACATATACTGGCAAGGATGTGCAGACAGGCGAATGCTTATACACTGTTGGTGGGAATGTGAATTAGCGTAGCAACTATGGAAAATGGTTTTTCAGGAAAACAGTTTCTCAAAAACTAAAAATATAACTATCATATAATCCAGCAATTCCACTGCTCGGTATACATCCAAAAGAAGGGAAATTAGTGTATCAAAGAAATCTGCACTCCCATGTTTACTGCACTATTCACAGTAGTCAAAACATGGAATCAACCTAAGTTCTCATCAATGAATGAATGAAGAAAACGTGGTATGTACATACAATAGAATAGTATCCAGCCATTAAAAATCATGAAATCTTGTCATATGCAACAACAAGGATGAACCTGGAGGTCATTACATTAAGTGAAATAAGCCAAGCACGGAAAGACAAATATCACATTTCCATTCACGTGGAACTAAAAAAGTAGATCTCATGAAGATAGAGAGCAGACTACTGATTCCCAGAGGCTGGTAAAGATGTGGGGGTGGGGAAATGAAGAATGAAGTGAGAGTGATTTATGGGTCCAAATATATAGTCGGATAAAAGAAATAGGACCTTGTGTTTGATAGATCAGGAAAGTGATTATCGTTAACAATAATCCATTGTATATTTCCAAATAGCTGGAACAGAATAATTCAAATGTTCCTAGCATAAAGGAACGATAAATATTTAAGGGAATTGCTGTAGTTTGGAGATTTGTCCCTGCAAATATCATGTTGCAATTTGGTCCCCACTGTTGGAGATAAGACCCAACGGGAGGTGTTTGGCTTGTGGGGACAGATCTCTCGGGAAAAGCTTGGTGCCATTCTCGTAGAGTTCTCACGCTGTGAGTTTCCTGTGAAAGCAAGTTGTTTAAAAGAGCCTGGAATCTCTTCCCTCCCTCTCTGGCATCCTCTCTTACCATATGATTCTGGACAAGCCAGCTCTCCTTTACTTTCTGTCATAAGTTGAAACAGTCTGGGCCCTCACCAGAAGCTAATTTGATACCAGCACCAGCCTTCTTTTTTTTTGAGACGGAGTTTCGCTCTTGTTACCCAGGCTGGAGTGCAATGGCCGGACCTTGGCTCACCGGTTTTATACAAGGCGTTCCTAGACTACGTGTTCTGATTGGATGAGAGCAAATCAGGATAACCAATCAGAGCATGAAAATAAGGACCAATTAGAGTAGACCTTGTAGTTTTTCACACATCCAATCAGAACATGTAGTACAGGAATGCCTTATACGAAGCATCCCAAAGGGGAGTCCCGCCATTTTAGGTTCTTCTGGGTCAGCTGGCCTACCAGCTGTGGCCGGGTTTAGAGGAGAAGACGGAGTACCCACCCACACTGGAAGCTGGAGTCTGAGCATCTTGCCTCGCTTCGGTGTTGCGGTTGGTGGCAGTGAGGAAGACTACAGCGCAGCCAGAAAGGTAAAATGATAGTGGGATAGGTTCGCCATTGCGGCCCTCACGGCCTGCGTCATGGAGGGCGGGTTGGGGGCACCATGCCCTGGGCAGTAGGTGCTATTCAGGGTGTCACTGCCCGTATTCAGGGTTTGGTTGGGTGTGTTACCTGGGGTGCCACTGCCCATGGAGGGGAGAGGATTGGGGACCCTATCTGGGGGTGCACTGACCTTGGATGGTGGTGGGTTGGGGCAGGATGGTTGGTGGCGAGAAGGGAGACTATAGCCCAGCAAGGAAGGGGAAAAGGGGGCCGGATAGGTTCACCATCCCCGGCGCAGTTCCTGCAGCATGCGGGGTTGGGTTGGTGGTGCCCGCCCTGCTGTGGGCAGTGGACACTGTCCGTGTGGACCTCACGGCCTGTGTTTCCGGCTGGTTTGGTGTGCTATCTGGGAGCATCGCTGCCCATGGAGGGGAGTGGGTTGGGGCTGCTATCCGGCATGCACTGCTCATTGCTGGGGGTGGGTTGGGGCGATATCCCAAGCTGTACAGCCAGCGGCAGTGGGGCGTTTTGGGAGCATTGTCTGGGGATGCACTGCCCGCATTGTGGGGCAAGTTGGGGGAGCTATAGGATGCTGCAATTCCTTTGTCAGGAATAGGTTGGGGTCGCTGTGGGGTGTTACATTGTCCATGGTGGGTGGGGAGTGTGATATCCAGGGCATCACTGCCTCCATCTGGGAACTGGTTGGGGCACTAGCCATGGCTGCTGCCTTCAGCAGGGGGTGGGTTGGGGACACTATCGGGCTGGAATCCCAGTGGCGGGGGATGAGTTATGGTCACTATAGGGTGCTACACTCCTGGTGGCGGGGAGGGGGTTTTGAAGGTGGTGTCAGGGGCTACACTGAGGCAGAGGTGGGGAGTGTTTCTTGGGAGCACTACTGGAGGCCAGACTGCATGAGGAGAGGAAGTGGGGGTTGGCTGGGGGCGCTGTTGGGGGCAGGATAGATTGCTCATGGCGAGGGAGCATGTTGGGTGCTACCAGGGGTCTGTGTTGCCTGGCAGGGAGCAGGTGGGTGTGCTATCCGAGGCATATTGGCTGTGGCAGGGGCAGGTTGGGTCTGCTATTGGGAGCTACCCTGCTCGTGGTGGGGGATGGATTGGGTGGACTATCAGTGGCTACGTTTCCAGAGGTGGGTAGCAAGTTTGGAGTGCTATCCCTGGCTGCAGTTCCTGAGGCCGGAAGTGGGTTGGAGGAGCTATGGGGGCCTGCACTGCACCCAGTAGTGAGGGGATTGGGGTGCTATCTGGGGTTGCATTGCCCACGATGGGGGTCGGTTTGGGTGGCATATCGGGGTGTCACTGACCATCATAAGATTCTGGTTGGGGATGCGTATGTGGAGAACTGCCCATGGAAGGGAGTAAATTGGGGGCGTTATCCTGGGGTGTGCTGCACAGAGTGGGGTCGGTGGGGGGGTGGATTGCAGGCACCATCGGGTGCTGCAGTGTCTGAGGCAGGGGCAGGTGGAGCCACCATTGGGTGTTACTTCCTGCTGTGGGGTGCAGCGTGTTGGCCCTATCCCAGAGCTACACTGCCAGTGGCAGGTCTCTCGGGGGCTGCACTGCTGGTGGCTGGCTGGCAGCGGAGGTGTCAGTGACTGCAGTGGTCTTTGAGAGAAGAGCAGTTCTCCCCTCCCTGGACTCTGGACTCTATAGGGCCATCTCTTCCTGCTCTAGCAAGGTGGGCACATAATGTTTCCTCGGGAATCCTGAGCATGGTGGGGTGCCGGGACCCGGTGGTTCCTAAGCCCATGACCTCTCATTCTGTGTGGTGAGGACCACCTGGGACCCCCAGGGCACAGTAGCAAACACCACGGGATGACAGGGCTCTGTGGGTATAGGTGTCAGGAAGGGGAATGAGCACTTTGATTGGGAGAGCTGGCTGGGACTGACTTTCTGCTGCTCCTGCTTCCTGAGCTCAGCCCAGGTGGGCCCAGCAATTCCTGTGGAATGAGAAGTCCGGGTACTGTGGTGTCTTCACTACCTCATCCCAGGCCCTTCTCATTCCTTCACTGCCCTTTCCCCCTGCCCTCACTAGCCCCACCCTCCTGCGGTGCCCACTGAATTCTTTTCTTTACTAGGAAAGAATCAGAACCTTTCCTAGGCCTGAGCCCTGCAACTCCAAATGACCCTGTGGACTGTGGGAGAGAGAGAAGACACTGTGCCTCAGTTTCCTCACCTGAAAAAGGAGACATCACCTTCCTTCAGGGTTGTCTAAATGTTAGGTTTGTAAACAATATCTGGCACATCAGAGGCACTTAGTGACAACTGGGTGTCATGATCGTCACTGGTGCTGATTCTGTGCTCACCTTTCTCATGGAGAGGGACTTAACCATGTCCTGTTTCCTCCTGCTGGCAGGGGCCAGTGGGTGTGGGATGAGATCCTGGAGCTCCTTATTCCTCTACAGCTTCCACACCAGCAAGGGGATCAGACCTATGCTGATGATGCCATCGGTCCTGCAGTAGAGGAAAGGGTGCTGAGGGAGGGCCGGCCACACACTTATGCATGCTTGTTTGTCTTCAGGTCTCATGGAGGGTTTTCAGAGCAGGTGGTGGCTTTGACAAGAGGACTCACAAGTGTCCCTTGGCTCCCCAGCCAGAGACCTGAGCAGCCAGCAGGAGGCTGCCAGTGACAGTCATGTCAGAGGCTGAGAAGCGAGAGGCAGGGGAGCTGGAAAGGACCAGCTTTTGGTCACCAGTGCCTCAGGAGTCATCTACCATAGCAGGTGTACAGTGGTCTGAGAGACAGTGGCCACCCCTGGGAAATTCAGGAACTCATTTTTGTGGGGCCCCAGGCACATGAGGACATTCTCCATTTGTCCCTACACTACCCCAGGGTGTGGGAGCCAGCCAAGCCTCATTCCCACCCAAAGTATTTCAAAGCCACTGGGCACCCCAGACTGGTCTGGCCAGCCGTGGGGAAGGGCTTGGAGTCAGCTCTGAGGTAGACCTAACGTGTAGGCTAGTGTCTTACACACCAAAAAGAGCTGTGTCACTAAAGGTAATGGGAAGCCATAGGCTGTGGCCAAGGGGTTTTGAAGGGACCTGGGGTCCCATGGGAAAGGGAAGCGCCACATGGCACAGCTCAGGAGCAGGTACTGGGAGAGGCACAGTGAGGCAAGTCTCCTTCATAAACAGGCCCCACCTTGTTCCTCCCAGCTGGAGCTGCAAGCCTGGATGGAATGAGGCCAGCCCAGCCTGCAGAGCCTGTGGGGCAGTAAAGGGCGAGATATTCCAGGAAATGTGGGAGTCCTGCAGGGGAGATAAGCCAGAGGGGTGAGGAGGAAGCTTATCCCCTATAGAGGCCTGGGTAGACACTGGCTTTAATTAAGGAGTTGATATTTTGCCCACCATGGATTTGATTTGAATTATTTTTATTTTCAATATCATATTAAAATAGTATTTATCTTGATTCCTGAGATTTCTGGCTCCCCTTAAATTAGGCACCAAGGTCAGTGCCTCACCTGCCTCTCCCTAGCGCTCCAGGTAGGACAGAAACTAAGGCAGGGACAGAAAGTCCCCAACGGGTGTTGGCTACTGTCCCTGCGGGGTTCCCAGGTCTTCTCCCTCTTTCTCTCCTTTTTCCTTCTCGCACTTATGTGTCACTGTTAAGCCCCCTGGGTCACTAAACCTTAGCCAGTTCCTCCAGGGAGCCCAAGCCCTCATAGAGTGCAGGTGCCTCTGAGGGAAAGGCCCGGGGAAGCATCTGTGGGGCACCATGGTGCAGCCCACCTCTCTGTGTGACCCCAGCCCTCACTCTCTGTGTGTGGCAGGAGGTCCCTGGATGAAGCATCGAACATCTGCGACAACTTGTGACCATCTGGGACCCAACAGCCCATGTATCACTGGTGCACTTTATATCCCACAGGTGGTAATCATTTTAGACACAGAATAGGCAGATTCTGCTGTGATCCCCATTGTGCAGATGACAATAGAGGCCAGGGAAAGGAGGCAGCCTGCCCAAGGTCACTCAGCTTATATTGCAGAATTGGCAGAGTTGATGAATGCCTTGGACAAATTGCACCAACTGCTACAAATCAAGACAACTAGATTGAGACATAATTGGCCAGACATAAAGGGAAGGTCATGCACCTCACCCCAAATGTCAACTGCACCGGGGACAAGGTAATTACAGTTTTGGCTTAGCAGCGCTAGTGGCTGAAAAAGCCATGGGGCTTTACTTAGTAGTCCAACTCCAGTATTTCCCTGTCCCTGACCCTGGAGCTGATGGAACTGACATGTGCACCTCTTGGTCCTCAGTTTCTTGTTCTGCAAACTGAATAGTCTTGAAAACTGAGGGGCCCTCCAAATTGAGGGCCTTTGCAGCCTGATGCCCACCTTTGCAGTGGTTGTGGTGAAGGCTCCTGCAGGAGAGGCTGACCTGTGCCACACCAGCAGCCCTGCCATGAAGGTGGGGAGACAGCACCCTTGGGTGCCATGATGGGACTGGGGTCTCAGTGTCCCGCAGGGACTTTCAGGCAAGGAGTACCCATCAGGGTCAGTATCTGTGCTGGGGCTGAGGTCGTGGAGGAACCAGACTTGCCCCAACTGAAGTCCACACGGAAAGGAAGCTGGGCAAGGTAACAGCCATATGGCAGGTGACACCTGAAGGACACCTGAGCAGAGGCCTCGCAGGCACAGAGGTTGAAACTCCCAGTTGTCAGCAGGGATGGGATGAGGGCATCCTGGGGCCAAGTTGTTCTGAGAAGAGGTTGAACAGGCACAAGGCCCAGACCCAGAGGACAGACTGAAGGCCCAGATTCTGGAGCTGTTTGCAGGGAATCAATAAGATTAGACGTGGATGGGTGAGCAGGGGTGGGAATCCAGAATGAGGAATACCCCAGGGAGGGTGTCGTGGTGACCCAGGCAGAGTTTGACAGATAGGGGCACAGATTTGGGAGGAGGGGGCCAACTGGAGAGGGAGGAGCAAAGATGAGCCCCGGGTTTACTGTGACCGAATCCATTTGTACTGCATTTTCAACAAAATGGCCAAGGGAAAGGGTGGTCTGCAAGGCATCCTGAGAAGGCAGCAAGGACTTGGTTTGGTCTTTTCCAAGGTCACCCACTCACCGACTTGCTCATAAAGGTCAACTGGAGGCCAGGCTCAGGGACACAGGGAAGGTGGACTGAACCAAGGGGAGCTGTCCAGTTGTGGGGACAGACTTATGGCCCATTTTAGGAGCAATAAAAGGAGAGCCCTGCTCCCTTTGTAGGGGGGATGGCCACATTGATTTCACAGATCCAGGGACAGTGACTGTGATGGGTACCCAACAAAGGCAGCATCACCAGCAGATGTCACATGGAATAGGTACAAGTTTATTTTTATTTATTTTTTTTATGGAGTTTCGCTCTTTATTGCCCAGATTGGAGTGCAGTGGTGCGATCTCGGCTCACAGCAACCTCCGCCTCCTGGGTTCAAGTGATTCTCCTGCCTCAGCCTCCCCGGTAGCTGGGACTACAGACACATGCCACCACGCCTGGCTAATTTTTATATTTTTAGTAGAGATGGGGTTCCGCTTACCTGGATGTGAGGCATGGAGTCAAAGGATGTTGTTTAGGAAATGCCCATAAGCAGAAATCTGGGATTGATGTGGGGTTCACTTCTTGTCCTTTTCTGCCAAGGTCATATTCCTCCATTGGTTGTTACCCAGTGCCTACAAAGAGTCACTTAATATATTTTGTTTATTGTTTATGACAGAAGGTTAAATCCAATGCTAGCTAATTTCTAATGGCCAGAGACTTTGGACTTCTTGTTATGTGAAAAGAAGTAAACTCTTTTATTCAGCTGCTGAAGTCAGGTTTATGTTTTGTTGATGTTGTTTTTGAGACAGTCTTACTCTGTTGTCCAGGCTGGAGTGCAGTGGCACAATCCTGGCTCACTGCAATTTCTACCTTCCAGGTTCAGATGATTCTCCTGCCTCTGTCTCCAGAGTAGTTGGGATTACAGGTGTCTGCCATCACGCCTGGCTAATTGTATTTTTGCAGAGACAAGGTTTCACAAAGTTGGCCAGGCTGGTCTCAAACTCCTGACCTCAGGTGATCTGCCTGCCTTGGCCTACCGAAGTGCTAATATTACAGGCATGAGCCACTGTGCAGGGCCAGGTTTATGTTTAATTCAAGCTGCCTGTAGAAATTTGCATAAGTAATGAGGAGCTCCTACTAGGAATCTACAAGGCAGTGAAGGAGGGGGCCTAATTCAGTATGACCGATGTCCTTCTAAAGGAGAGAAAAGGCCAGGCACGGGAGCTCACACCTGTAACCCAGCACTTTAGGAGCCCAAAGTGGGTGCATCAGAAGGTCAGGAAATCGAGACCATAATGGACAACAGGGTGAAACCCTGTCTCTACCAAAAATACACAAGAATTATCTGGGCGTGGTGGCATGCACCTGTAGTCCCAGCTACTGAGGAGGCTGAGGCAGGACAATTGCTCGAACCTGGGAGGCAGAGGTTTCAGTGAGCTGAGATTGCACCACTGCACTCCAGCCTGGGTGATAGAGCAAGACCCTGTCTTAAAATAAAAATAAGCAAAACCAACAGATATTTATTCATTGTATACCTGCGCCAGACATAATGAGTATGAATACCGAAAGGCTCTTTGTCCCTAAAGAGTTTTCAGTCTGGTAACGTAGACAGGCAAAAAGAGAATGATAAAACCAAACAGAGGGAGATATATGTTCTCAGGGAGCTGAATTTGGACTATGTAAACTAGGGGGAAGCTCCGGGGAGGATTTGGCTTGAAACTCAGTGGAAATATTATAGCAAATAAAATTAGGGATTGCTAGGTTCAGTGGTTTGTGCCTGTAGTCCCAGCTACTCAAGAGGCTTCACAATGTTGGCCAGGTTGGTCTTAAACTCCTGACCTCAGGTGATCCATCCATCTCAGCCTCCTGTGCTTGGATTACAGGTGTGAGCCACTGTGCCTGGCCTCTCTGTGGTTATTTTCTTACTCTTGTTAGATCCAAATAGTTATTGTGAGGGTAACATTAAGACACTGTTTGGGAAATTCTTTGAGCATTGGATAACTGTATGGAAGTGCTGTATCTGTGGGAACCAGCCTGTTTTGTCCCTATTATATGCCAGATACACATTATTTGAGGGAGTAAAAGTCTGTCCAAAGCTAATTCCCAGAGACTGAGGGCTGCTCTGTACCTGGAAGCAGTGGGGTAGTAGAGTGCGCAGGGTATGGGGACAAAGGTACCTGAGCACCGGTCCACTCAGCTGCTCTGGAGCTTGGTGTTCCCATGTGAAACCATTAGTCATTCTAAGCTTCATTACAAAATAGAACTTCCTGTGTTGTGTCAATGGAGTAGCAATACCATCCTGATGGGGCTGTGAGGACCCAGTGTGAGAACAAACAGTGCATGAGTGTTTTTCTACTCGAAGTTGAATTGTTTTTCTACTGGAAGTTGAAGTCCCCCCCGTGTGACTGCATTATTCATCCTGGGCTGCCTGAGCTTTCCAGTCCTGAGAAAAGTGTGTGGAGGGGAGGGTGGTTGTTATTGGAAGTCACCCTGGGCGCTGAACTCAGTAGAAAACCCTGGTTAATAATGCCAGGTCCATTAGCATCTCTGGTTTTCTGAGTCTGGTAGCTTTCCTTTGCTCAACAAATGTAGTGATACACAAATATTTGACTGATTTTGTAACTAAATTCTCCTCTCCAGTCTTACAAGTATTAGTTTTTGTCTTCAATTTGACCATAGAAAAAAAATGAAATGTTTCCTCTCTCCTCCCCTTTCCCATCCTGTAGGAAGGGGAGCCATGAAAACAAACTCTTTTCCATAGGCAGGGTCTGGCCTTCTAACTCTCAAGTCTTTACCTTACAAATTCAAGTCTAAAGTCATTTCATCTCTTTTTGAACCTGTAACCATGAGCTAGCTCTACCTGTCTTTCAGAACAAGGAGGTAAACAAAGCCCGTGAAGTTACTGGAGAAGGGCTGAAGAGACATTCATGTCAAAGTGGGAATTTTAAAGTAATCACAGCTCCTCGGCTAAACTTTTGGGTAAAACCAAAACAAAAACAACTTTTTTACAGCTCTGGCAGTAACATTTCATACCTTTTGCAGTCATTTTAAGCATGTCCCTCAATTTTTCCTTCTGTTTTCAAATTACAATTGGAAGAAATAAAGCTGCTTCTGTCAAGGTGACTTCAAACCATCTATTAAGAACACCCTATAATCTCTTCCATGGCAAACTATTTTAAATTTAAGAAGTCTCCAAATATTTGAGTCTGACTTATCCCAATTATTAGCTTCCTTATTGAATAGGAGAAAAGAAATGATTTGGCCTTTAAGCGGCTCCTTCACTGAGGTACCATAGTATCTGGATAGGTAAGGCTAGAGAATGGGATAGAGATTCCAAAACTGGAGTATCTGAATTTTCATCGGGGAAAGAAAGAGACTAGACCAAAAATGCCTCAAGCAAGAAGGCTCAACAACAAAGACAAGAGGCAGGACTAGCCTTTGTCCGAGGGAGCTGGAAGCTGAGGATGTCTCTTGGGTGAGGGGATGGGAAGTAGGTGGGGGACATGGTGGCCAGAGAGCAAATGGCACCCCTGGCTTCTTTACCTTTGCGCCGCTTTGACTTGATGGGCTGCACATGCTGGACCTGCGCCACTCTGGCATGTAACACGGCAGGCTCTGCAGTGGTGGATGCTGGTGCTGCAGCTGCCGCAGACTGAGTCTCACATTCACAAGACGGCGCCACTCCCTGCTGGCACGAGGTACAAGACCCAGGGTCTAGGCAGTTCCCCATGAGTGACCTACAAGGGGACTTTCAAAAAAAAGCAACAAACAAAATCAGAAAAAAGAACAATGAGAACACATGGACACAGGGAGGGGAGCACTACACACTGGGGTCTGTTGTGGGGAAATAGGGAGGGAGAGTGGGTAGGGGGGTGGGGAGTTGGGGAGAGATAGCATGGGGGAAAATGCCAGATATTGGTGATGGGGAGGAAGGCAGCAAATCACATTGCCACATGTGTACCTATGCAACAATCTTGAATGTTCTTCACATGTACCCCCAAACCTAAAATGCAATTAAAAAAAAGAAAAAAACAAAACAAAGCAACAGACACACAGACAAAAGAAAATAAAGACAAAGCAACATACAAAATAAATAAAAAAAAAAAGAAAAAGAAAAAGAAAAAGCAAAGCAACAGAGCAAGCGCCAAGGGCAAAAACACTTCTATGAGAGTAGTTGGAGCTCCTCCTCCTCCCACTACCAGCTTCCGACTGAAGGCTGCTGGCCCTGGCTGATGTCACAAAGCCTCCTATGTCACCTGGTTACCAGGAAACAACAAAGTCAGGCCAGTGGCTCACAGTGCCACTTCCCACAACCCCATCTAATGGCTCAAGATGCCCATCCCTGCTACTGGCCACCTGCGGCCACCCTGCCCCTCTTGGTGACTGCATTATTCATCCTGAGCTGCCTGAGATATTCCATTTTTCACTACAGGCCTCAAAAAACTCAGAAATGTCTCTTCATAGATTCTATATAGAGAGCGTGTCTAACTTGTGAATAAAAACAAAGCTTTCATTTTGCGTGATAAATCCACAAACACAAAGCATTTTCACAGAATCCTTTGGGGCCCACCTCTCACCTTTAGCTTCCTGTTCTTAGTTATTTGGGCTTCTGTCTTGTATGCTCTGTCAGGTTCTAGGTCTTGTAAGGGTGACTTCCATGTCTCCATTCATTTATATGGGCCCAGGACGGTTGGCTCTTGGGAGGGTCTTCATGGTGACTGAGGCCATGGATCCTTTACACTGTTCCTTGAAACCACTTGACACAAAATACTCATCCTGAAATGATGCTTTGAAAGTGATGTTTTCAGTCAATTAGTGGTCCACTGTATTATTATGGATCCCTAGTACCCAATACATGGCATATAAGAAATGAATGAAAAATGAGTGAATGCACTCAAGTGTGCCTACAAGGCGAGAGAAAAGTGGTCCTACTTACTAGGTGTGCTACAAAGGCATCTGGGACCATTGGCTTTGCTATTTGATAGTAGGCCTGGGGCTTTGAAGGCTGGTATTTCCTCATTCTAAACCTCAAATTCCAATAAATTACCACCCAGTGGACAAAGGTCCATGCGCCAGAGCTCTTGGTGTGAACAACATACCTTTTTTGGGTGTGATTAATGGATAGGGACTATACAAAACTAAAAACAATGTTTGTGTGCTGACTACCCTCAAGCCATGGTGATAAAACACTCTGTATACATGATCTTATTCAATGCTTGTTACAAATCCATGAAGTGGATTTTTAGACAAACTTTCCACTCTAGAGCTTTTTGGAACAAGAGGCTAGTGTGGTGAGCTTTCACCTACTCAGCAGCAGATTCAGATATTTGTTACCTGATGGCCAATCTCATTACATGTATACTCCTACATGCTTCTCCTCTTCCTCTCATGATTTTATAGCAAATCTCACACATCATGTAATTTCCTCCCCGACTTTCTTGGTATGTGTCTGTAAAAGATACAATTCTTGTTTGTTTTTTCAAGACAAGGTCTCTGTCAACCAGGCTGGAGTTCAGTGGCATGATCTTGGTTCACTGTGGCCTCTCCTGCCTCAGCTTCTCAGTAGCTGGGATTACAGGCATGTGCCACAATGCCCAGCTAATTTTCTATTTTTAGTGGAGATGGGATTTCACCATGTTGGTCTAGCTGGTCTCGAACTCCTGACCTCAGGTGATCCATCTAACTTAGCCTCCCAAAGTGCTGGGATTACAGGCATCAGCCACTGTGCCCAGCCATCAAAGCCCTTTAGAACAACTGGCAAATTTGTTTTTTTCTCTTAAGAACTATTTAAAAGAGTATCTTATTTACTATCAATTAACATTTTTGGTTCCTTGAACAGTATTATGGCATAGCCATCAGAGTTAAAAAGCAATGATTTGGATCCAGAATGAGTAAGCAGGAATCACTGCTTCTGGCTCTGCCTAGACTGTACAGCCTGGAAGACACTAAATTTCCTCACTTACTCAACAGTTGTTGTGAAGATAAAACTAGATTACACAAAGCTCCCAGGACACTGGCTTGCATGCGTGGTGGCCAATCATCAAAATATATTTCTTCCTCCCCTACCCCTACTCACCCAGAGTAGACATTTAGCAAAATGTTTGTGAACGAATGGGCCAGATTAAGTGGATCACACCTGCAATCCCAGCACTTTGGGAGGCCAAGGTGTGAGGAATTCCACTTGAGGCCAGAAGTTCAAGACCAACCTAGGCAACAAGCAGGTTGTGTATTTTCTTTTGCTTTTTTTTTTCAGATAGGGTCTTGCTCTGTTGACCAGGCTAGAGTGCAGTGGCACCATCATAGCTGGCTGTAACCTCAAACTCTTGGGCTCAAATGATTCTTCCACCTCAACCTCTAGAGTAGCTGGGACTAATTGTATCTAACAGTAGTAAGAAAATAACCTCAGAGCGGCCAGGCATGGTGGCTCATGCCTGTAATCCCATTATCCTAAGTGAACTAACTCACAAACAGAAAACCAAATACTGCTTGTTCTCACCTATAAGTGGGAACTAGACAATGGATACACATGGACATGAAGATGGAAATAATAGACACTTGGGACTCCACAAAGGGAGATGGGAAAGAGAAAGAGAGTTGAAATCTACAATGTTCAGATACAGATACAATGGTCTGCATCTCTATCTGTTCTAACAGATACAATGTTCACTATGTGAGTAATGGATACAATGGAAGCCTAATCCCCACCAGAACAGAATATAATGTAACAAACATGCCGGAGTACCACCTGAATCTAAAATTAAATTAAAATTTTTTTAAAAAAGAAGAGAATTAGTTTCCCTCATCCCTTGAGATTATGAAGAGAGGCTTCCTACAGTTTCTGAGGCAATAAATACAAAAATCTGAGAAGAGTGACATAATTCTTACCCTTCTGTCAATCTTCCTTAAGTGACTTGACCTGCAAAAGCAGACGACTGGAAAAGAAGGCAGCAGAGACTAAGGATACTGTGAGCAGCAACTTCCTAGCTCCTTAATCCCCCAAAAAAGCAAATAGGTCACTCCAGACATTCTGTAACTTATAGCACAACAATGGGAGGGAACTCCTTTAGAAACAAAGAAACCGCACATGCAGGAAATAAACTAATGCTACAGAATCTTTCAGTTGTCATGTCAGTTTTAAAATAAGAAGAAGGTTGGGGGAAGTGGCTCATGCCTTGGGAAGCCAAGGCAGGCAGATCATGAGGTCAAGAGTTCAAGACAAGCCTGACCAACATGGTGGAACACCATCTATACTAAAATACAAAAATTAGCTGGGCATGGGCACATGCCTGTAATCCCAGCTACTTAGGAGTTTCAGGCAAGAGAATCACTTGAACCCAGGAGGTGAAGGTTGCATTGAGCCAAGACCATGCCACTGCATTCTAGACTGGGTGACAGAGCAAGACTCCATCTCAAAAAACACAAAAATAAAAACAAACCAGAAGGAATGAACCACTGGCCAGGCACAATGGCTCATGCCTGTAATCCCAACATTTTGGGAGGTCAAATCGGGTGGATCACCTGAGATCAGGAGTTTGAGACCATCCTGGCCAACATGGCAAGACCCTGTCTCTATTAAAAATACAAAAATTAGCCAGGTGTGGTGGCCTAAACATGCACAGCTACTCAAGGCATGGTTAAGGCAGGAGAATCACTTAAACCTGGGAGGCAAAGATTACCGTGAGCTGAGATCGCATCACTGTACTCCAGCCTGGGTGAGGGTGAGACTCTGTCTTAAAAACAAAAACAAAACAATAACAGCAACAACAACAACAAAAATGGCGGGTGTGGTACCCACCCACCCCAGGTGGGCAGCAGCAGGGATGGGCATTGTGAGCCATTGGGTGGGGTTGTGGGGCAGGGCATTGTGAGCCAGTAGCCTGACTTGGTTGTTTCCTGGTAACTAGATGACATAGGCTTTTTGGGTGACAGGCAACAGCCAGGGCCAGCAGCCTTCAGTCTAAAATTCTTTAGGATTTTAGAAATAGTTGAATCTAGCAACAGATAATTCTGGGTGACCAGTTCCTTGAACAAAAACTAAGTCCACTGAAATAGAAAACATTATAAAGACAAAGGAATATGATCAGCTCATTTCTTTCATTTTAATGGCAGAGATTTTATTAGTATGGAGAAAATGTCTTACAGCTCTTGTGTTTAAACTTCAGTTTAGCTGTTACCTTCTTTCACAGAATAATTAAGCCTCACGGTGGATGTGCCTTTGTAACAAGGAAGTGCTGTACTCCCTTTTCAGAATATTGAAAAATTGTGAAAGAATGAACAAATAATTATGAGACTTAATAGATTGTACCTTATACACAAGCATGCAAGTACCTGTGGAAACTCCTTGCTTGGTGGTGTATGGCAAGCCTCTGTGTGATATTCTGTCCGATTTGGTAGATGAGGTAGTGAGAGAACAAAGTGAGCCTTTTCCTTATTCTTTAGGATGTAAAACATGTTTTCATGTACATCTTATTGGAACCTTCCAAATACAAATAAGGCCTGTGGATATTCTCCCTATGTTGCTGATGCAGAAAGGAAGGCTTAGAGATCTGAAGGGACTTTGTGAGACAGCTGCTGAACAGAACTGAGGTTCTAAGTCATCAAAGTAGACATTGGAGGTCGTAGTGATGCCAAACTCAGTTCTTAAAGAGCTTGACAAACTCCAGAATGTCTTCTATTTTAAGGTCTACCCATAACATAAACCTCTCTTAGAACTTACTTTCATCTCGATTAGTTCCTTTTGCATTTTATTTTATACAACATTTACCTCTTTTTTTCCTCCTAAAGAGATGGGTCCTCACTGTGTGGCACAGGCCGGCTTCTGACTCCTGGCCTGGGATCAAGCACTCCTGCTGCCTCAGCCTATAGGAGAGCTGACAATACAGGCATGTGCCATCTCTCCTGGCTCTGCCTTCTGTCTATACATTTATTGAAATAGATAAGGATATAAGTAGGGGTAACAAAGAGTTTCTTGTGCTAACTGATTGGAAGCTGAGAATGTCCTGGTCGGGAGAAGCTGGCAAGAGGGCAGGTAAGGCCCCACACATTAAGCACAGGCTGCGAGTAAGAAGTGTTAAGTCAGAACAGTTGAGGAAAAAATAGTTTGGGAGTGCAGAATTTACCATTTTATGTGTATGTGCATGATAGTAAGTTTCAAATGTATTTTTGTGGTATTCAGTAAAGGGATAACAGAAACCTCAATTTCAGTGTGTATTCTTTGGCCAGCCATGGTGGCTCATGCCTGTGATCCCAGCATTTTGGGAGGCTGAGGTGGGTGGATTACCTGAGGTCAGGAGTTTGGGACCAGCCTGGCCAACATGATGAAACCCCTTCTCTACTAAGTATACAAAAAAGTAGCCAGGCGTGGTGGCACATACCTGTAATCCCAGCTACCTGGGAGGCTGAGGCAGGAGAATCACTTGAATCCGGGAATTGCAGGTTGCAGTGAGCCGAGATCACGCCAATACACTCCAGCCTGGCTGGGCAAATAAAACAAGAAAGCAACATGTTCAGAACACCCAATATAAAGTATAGACGCAAAGTTTGTTGTTAATATCTTCACTTCAGAAAATTGTGTATCACTTTTCTTGGAAAGTGACAAATTCCTACTTAGATGTGAAACATTTTAACCTTTCTATAAAGACAAATTGAATTCTTTTGGTGCCTTAGACAAATATCACAGTAACCAGTGCTCCAACCATTCTGTGACACACTAAACAGTCATTTAAAGTCATCAGGTAGAGCAGGGTGCACTGCTGTGGAAAGACATCCTGGAGTGCTCTCTAGGTGCCAAGTCCTGTTTCAGGAACTTATGCCATAAATGATGCTCTGCTTCATTGTTCTCTTCTGAAATATTTCAAAAGAACATTGTGTCTTGAAGCCATTTCAAAGAAAAGTTCTAAGAACCCAGTTTAGATCTCAGACTCAAACATATTTTGTCCTATCATGCATTTATTTAGCATTATATGTAATATGACTGGGGGTAATATAAGTAACACAGATTAAGACAGTAGGAGCTCATTATCTAATTTTATCACTACCCATCAACTTTTCATGCAGCCTTTTGTGTTCTTACCATAGGAACGCTGCTCGTTTGCTGGCTCTCTCAAGTGAGGGGTCAGGGAAGGGAAAGAATGGGCATATGATGTTGAGACTTCTGAGCAGCAGGTCTTTTAGCATTCTAGTAATTATTTTGAACCCTCCTTTTAAAATAACCATCAGTATGTTTCATGTAAAAGATGTAGGAAACAAAGAAAAGTTACTTATTATACCCAGAATACCCAGAGCTCACTTGTGTTACTGTTTGAGTACTGGTTCTTCTGGAAATTTTTGGTATGCACTTGAATATTTTCACAAACTTTTTTATAAAATAAAACTTTTTGATTATTTTATATGTGCTGCCTTATAGCTTTTACTTAAAGCAGTGAAATAACGGTGTAAGTTTCTTAAACAGTACTTGACACCTAGAGAGCACGCCAGGGTGTCTTTGCATGCCAGGGCACCCTGCTGTACCTGATGACTTTGAATAACTGCTTAGTGTACTATGGACCGGTTAAAGCACTATGTATTTACCTACCCTTTGCGATTGGCCGTCTTTTTTCATAACGTCAGACACAATCCTGTCATGTTTGATTCTAAGAACACACGTAAAGCACATTTTGATGACAGATGCGATATCTCATGATAAAATTTAAATAATTTGTCTAGTGACATAATTAACCTGATGAAATGAGTCACTTTGTATTTAAGGTATTTTAGTATTAAATGTACTTGTGTCAAACTACAGTTACCGTTGACTTTTAAATAGACATTAACATTCTTCATTTATATTTTTGTGGATCTTGATAGCTTGTGTCTTTAATTCTAAATAGCTACCAGTTTAAAAAATCTGACGCTGTCTTAGATGATAAATCAAAAGACAACTTTAGCAGATCTGGGAAAATTGGGAGAAACTTAACTAGTTTGGGGTAAAATGAAATATATGTATTGAGCACTTTTAAATGGCCTGGAAGTGTTGCAGATGCAGGGCAAACAGTGGAACAAACAGAGAGCCCCATTCTAAGTCTGACCCTTACATTCAATAGGGAAGTAAGGGCAGCTAGCACATGAATAGTCAAGAATGGCGGGTGGTGACGTGCTGGGAAGATAGTAAAGCAGGGTGATGGATTAAAGAGGAGGGCAGTTTTATGGAGGGTTGGTGCTAAGGGCTGGAGGTTCTCTTTAAGTGACATGTGAACAGTCTTAAAAGTGAAATGGGCTGGGTACAGTGGTTCCCACCTTTAATCCCAGCACTTTGGAAAGCCGGATGAGGGGATTCCTTGAGGTTGGAAGTTTAAGACCAGCCTGGCCAACACAGAGACACCCCATCTTGTTTATTTTAAAAAATATAAAAAGTGAGGGGAACCTTGTGAGGATGATGGGAGAGGGCTTCCAGAGAGGGATATCTGCTTTGGAATTCCTGAAATCGAAACAAACTTGTTTTAGGCAAAGGACAGGCACAAGGGTGGCTGCAGCAGAGTGAAAGGATGCTGGGATGAATAAGGTGGGTGAAGGCCTTGTACATGTAGTGAGCACTCACAGAGAAGATGGACTTCAGTTGAGATGGAAAACCACTGGAGGATTGCAGCCCAAGATTACTGTTAATTCTCTAAAAAAAAAAAAATGACTGAGCAGCAGTTCTGTGTGAATATACTGTAATACAGGCAAGGGTGGAAGCAGGAAGAGCAGCTAGGAGGCTGGTGGAGTAGTTCAGGTGAGAGCCAACAGTGAAGAGAAAAACTAAAGGACCTGAAAAAGGCCAACTTCAGAAAAATCAAGTGACACTAAAAGTGGATAATAAAGTGGTAAATAGACAAGTCACAGAAAAAGAAATGCAGGTGACTGTTAAACACATCTTCACTCATAAAAGAAAGGCAAAGGACAGCTCTACTGCAGTGTCTCTCCTATTGAGGGAGATCCCAAAAACATGGCAAAACGTTATTTGGTGTGGCTGTAAGGAAAGGTGCATTCATATATTGCTGGTGGAAGTGCAAAAAGGCCCAACTCCATGAAGGGGAATTTGGCACAATCTCACAACCGTGAAAATGGATTTGAACCAGACATCCTACCTTGAGGAATTTTATCCTGAAGGTGTGCTCCATAAATATAAAACAAACTATGTGCAAAGTTCTTGTAGCATTATTTTCAATAGTTAAATATCAGAAATAACTGACATGCCTAGTAAGGGACTAGTAAAATAAGCTGGTACTTCTACATGAAGGAGAAGTATGGAGCTGTGAAAAAGAGTAAGACGTCTTTTTATTGCTATGGAGTGATTTTTCAAGATAGGGTAAGCAGAAAAGCCAAAAGGAGAACATGCAGTAATATACATGAAAGAAAGCAGGGGAAATAATGTGTATTTCATTATTTAAAAATAAAAGACAACATTGGGGAAGTCTTGATGATGACCTGTGACAGTTTTCTCCTAACTTCCCTGGGTAGCCAAAGTGCATATTTTCTCAAATTATCTTTCTGCTATGGGTTCTGCAAAGTCTGTAAACTGTGCACTTCTCGCCTTTGAGTTAGAGAAAGCTTTGCTTTGTAATCTATTGTGCCTTGTGTAATATACAGACTGCTCTTTGATTTTATTCTATCCTCTCTGTTTTGAGTTAGGTGTAATATGGGAATTATACTTGTGTTACGTATGAGGAGGCTGGTTCCAAGAAGACTGAGTAGATCAAGAATGTAAATTCTAGATATGGCATATAAAACTAGAATTTATAAAAAGGCGTGCATATGGCCTGCTTTAAATACTACCTTTTCGAAAAAAC